AAAGTTATTAATAATTAAAATTTTATAATTAATTATTAACAAGTTTATAATTTGGCTTAAAAATATTTTTTAATTTTAGCAAAAACTTGATAATTCTAGCCAGAATTATATCTAATATACTAGCTGACCTACCTATTCTAAAATCAGCTAATTTTTGGAAGCTCCCTTAAAGATAATTATTTTTAACTAATTAATAGTTTTATATAAATTAGTTATTTTATATAGAACAAGATAATATAAAAATTTAAATAAATAATTTTCTAGTCAGATTATAGATATATAGTCAGATCTCTCTAAATACAATGTGATAAAACTATATATAAAAATTTAGTCAAATATGTACTTAAAGAGATATTGTATTTAGAAAGATAAAAATCTATAAATATAATATTAGTTAGGACCAAGAAAAAATATGTAGTTAGGGATATGTTTTATAAGATGTATGCTTAGAAAGGTAGTATTTAGAAGAATCTAACTATAGTATCTAATATAAAACTATTAGACAAACTACTTAAATAAACAATTAAAATTTATATATATAACTAGTATATACTCTTCATAAATTATATAGAAGTTAAGGGTATGATGACTTAGTGAAGTGGTTAAGTTGTTATATTTTCAAGCAATATATTGACTAGATAGGGGGTTCAAAACCTATTGGTAATGAATTTTAAAAATTCTATCTATATGTTGGCTACTGTTATTCTATTGATTGGTTGGAATGAGATTTTTGTAATTTTAGTAGTACCAACAAGATTGAAAAATCATAAGATATTTGTGTAATATATAAGTTATATGAATAAGCTTCTAAATCATAGTAAACCCAGAAAACTAAGAAGGATAATGAACACTTGCTTAGCAAGGCCCGAATAGAGAAGTAGCACAGATTTTTAATAGTACTACTTAAGGATCGTTATCAAAAGAACTAGCAAAACCAAAGTATTTGGCAAGGCACTCCACCAACCAGGCTGCCAGAAGAGTAACCAGAGGAAAAGAACCCAATTATAGAGACCAAAAGCAGATCACAACTCTTTCAAACCATCTAAATTGGTGGTTTAGGATTGTTGAGATTAAAACTATTGATAGTCTGTAAAGTATATACTGGGGTCTGGGTGAACTTTACAAGAACAGAAATAGATAACAGTAGCAGCTTTAGCTTACAAGTACTTGTTCTCAGACTTAGTGTAAATTATCAAAATCTAGATTAGCCAGATTGTAGGTACAAAAAGCTCTAGCAAGATTACCTTGAGGGTAAATTAGCTCTAAGTAGATATACTTCTTATAGCAGGATTGGTTATCTCATAAGGATATAGCAGCATAGAAAGTTTAAATAGATAATCTTCTAGTTGAATTATAGATATGATATTTAATATAGAACCTTCAGACAAACTACTTAAATAAACAATCAAAAGTTGTATATGTAGCTAGTTGTATTTTCCAAAATTATGTACTAAATAAGTAGTAGCTAACTATGATCAGCTTAGCACATAAAACCAATAAAGCCACTAGCCAAGAGATCACTTTAATATTAAAAAAAAAATTATATAGAAGTTTTGTAGCAAAATAGTTTTCTAAAATTAATTACCTAATTTTGAATAAACAATAACAAAAAATTTGTTATACAAATTAAAAATCATCTAAAATTAGATTTTGTTATATAAAATTTTTGCTATCAAAATGATTTTTTGAGACAATATTATACAAATTATAGTTATATAAATATTTTGCAAGTAAATAACTATCTAAGAAAATATTATTCCTTAAACTGTAAATTTTTCCAAATGAATTTATCTAGAAAATTAGGGACGTGACAAAAATCAGGAGATTTTTTAGAGAGGAGGGGATAAAAAATTTTAAATTATATATAAAGACCTAATCAAGATATATAGTAAGAGGGGGGAGGGAGTAAGCCTCTGATAAAAAAAAATCAGGTGATAAATGATACTGCCCTTATCATAAATATAGTTATGATCTACTTTTTTTTAATTTTTAATATATTTAAATAAAATTTTTTTGATAATATTTGAAAAAATTAATATAGATGTACCTATAGAGTACATTAAAATTTTTGTATCCATGATCCTATGTAACATAAGTTAATCACGGGGTATATAAACAGATCAGAAGTAATAATTAGTTTATTTTTTTTTTATTTTGCTTTGGCGAACTAATGCTTTTTTTTTTAGACACAGATAATTTCATCACTATATCATCGTTTTGGCATCGTCACTTTTGGGTGTGTCAGTTTTATTTTGCCTTCGTAGTTCCATAGCGCGTCTCTATCGAAATCGTTCATCATTACTACAGTCGTCGTTATTGGAGTGTGTTATCGTGATTTTGGAAATTTTGATATGTTTTGTATAGTTGTGTTTGGCTTCGCTCAAATAAATGTTCTTAACCATTCTGATGTTAACTTTTTTCCTTTTTCTATTTGCAGGTAATTCCATCGTTGATATCATCATTTTGGTGCTATTGCTTCTGGTAATATTGTTAAGTACGTTAGGTTGGTTTTTCTTATAAGCTATATGACTTCTTTGTCTTATATATTTGTAAACGCATCCATTGATGCCAGCTTTGTTTTCGTGAGGTTTTGTAGTTGTCACTTTTTATGTTTGTTATAGCCTTTGTTGCTAGTAGATCTGCTGTTGGTTTTACTTCATTAGGATAGTTAGGTTGGTGTTAGTATTTTATAGTGATAGCGGTGGCTCTAATAGCTATAACAATAACTTCTAATTCGATATATTCCTGAACCAATGTTTAGCTTAGATAAAAGAGGCGATTAGATTTGGATTAGTTTTTTGGGTAAGTATCTTTTGGTTTGGTCTGTTCTTTTTTTTTCTATTACTGCCTCTAATTAAACTTTCTTTTATCTCTAAACCATAACTAATTCGGTATGTTGAATAGCCAGAAACACTGGGTGAGATAATCTACAGCTTATTTCTTTAACTACGGCTTTCGTTGCATTACGGCGCATTTGTGAAATTAAGATAATTAAACAGATATAGTAGAAAAATAGATTGAATAGTTGAAAAATGAGATTTGAGGTGCAGTAGTATTTTATTAATAACTAACTCATATCGATATGTATTTATGAAGTCATATTCAAATGACTTACTATTAGTAGTCAAACTTTTTCAAATTTTAGGGTAGTTTACAAATGCGCTATAATAGGGTC